TGAGCTACGAGTCGAACGATGCAAGAAAATATTGAACTTCCTTAAGCGAATAAATCCGGTCATCCTGTTCACCGACGAGAGCATGTTTACCGTCGATCCTGTATCAAATTCCAGAGCCGACCGGTATATAAGTTCTCTTCCAATAAAAGACGTGGCCGACGAGCACAAGAACGAGTATCTGACCAAGCATCCTGCTAGCGTTATGGTGTTTGGATTGGTGGCTTCCGATGGCAAAAAAATGGACCCGGTGTTCATTCCAGAAGGTGACAAGGTCAACACGGAGGTCTAAATCGGGATTTTAAGTAAGTATGTTCTTTCGTGGATCAAAGAACAGTACGGTCCGAAGCCAAATGTTGTATTTCACTAAGATGAGACCTTAAACCGCACTCAGAAGTGGTTGCAGGAATATCTTCCGTTCTGGGCGAAGGATATGTGGCCACCATCCAGTCCGGATCTTAATCCGCTGGATTACTCAATATGGCGCGTCTCAAAGACCAAGGCCTGTTCTAAACGCCACCCGAGTACAGCAAGCCTCAGACAAACATTGACCCGTACCTGGAGAGAAATGGGTTCAGACTACATTATTAGAACCTGCCGTGCATTCCGGAAGCGTGTGGAGGCCGTAATTGCAGCAAGTGGAAACCCGATCGATGATTAACATAGTTTAAGACTCTGAGAAACATCCCCCCTTTGAATAAATAAAAAAAAAAACTCGAAAACGAAATTTTTGAGAATTTGTTTTTTAATTTTGACATTGCTCAATGGTGCAAACATTATCACGCATACGGTTTTTCTACGTTTCTCGTTGATTTTCCCTGAAGTTTAACGAACTAAATTTCATGAACTTTTACGTAGTTTTCACAACTAATCCAAGTTCATAAGGCTTCTTAAAAGTGGCCTGAAATTATATAGAGGTTTCCGATCATCAATTAGCTTCCCTGAAATAAAATAATGTTCCCTTAACTTCTACAAAGCTTCTCAAATATAAATATATTTTCCACTTCTACGCCGTTTTCAGAACTTTTCCATGTTCCTTGTTTCTTCGAATATTTCTGTAGATCTATGATGTTCCCAGAATTTTTAATAAGTTTCTTCAATTTCTACGATGTTTCCTGAACACCTTGGAAGGCATTGAAGTTTTACGAAGTTCCATCGATTAAATATCTGTATGATATAATTTCTCATAATTGCTGCTTCTAGCCCATAACATACGGAAAGTAGTCAACATAAAGGACTTTAAAAAAAGATTAGTATCATCGAACTTGACAAGCTTGACAAAATCCCGGAGAATAAAAAAAAAGTAAGAGGTTGTATCGAAGACACGACCGTAGATTTGACGTAGGATTACGAACGGTAGTTTTGATGTCGCAGCAAAAGTATGGTATATATTAAGTTCATTTCTTAACTCGTTATCAGAGAAAAAGTTCGATAGGTTTAAATTCGGAAGCAAGTTGAGAGTTCTGTTTGTGATGTGCTCTGTCGATGTCCATGTAGTACAAGTCAATCCTGGACGGTATGTCTTGGATTCAAGCTCTTACTCTTTAGTTAACTCTTTTATCAGTCGTTTTTGGTCCTGAATGATGGTCCGATGTGTTGGAAGCTTGGAAACCAGTTTAGAACAATGCTGTAGAAATTTGTCCTCGATGTTCTTGGAGATGATAGCGGTGCGGAAATGAAATATGTATTAGAGAAAACACATCAATCACATAATCACGACGAGCACTGAATCCGATCAGTTGTTGAGGGCAGCCTTGATAGCTAGCTGCTTGTGAGGAGCCTTTCGTTGTGTACTAGAGAACACCACCACTCACCACACGCGGTGATTGAATGAACAGCGTTTGTCGAGACCGGATGGAATTCAATTTTGAAAACTGTGTTAGAGAAAGCGCTTTTCGCAGGCAATCGGTGACCATTTTATTAACATAGAAAAACTTGCATATTTGTGAAATTTTCAATAGTGACATTTTGAAAAATGATTAATCCTTAATTTTAACAGAATTGCAGAAAAATTTCCTATCGATTTGCGAATTCAGAATTGTAATTCATCATCTCTGGATCAAAATCAGACGAGTTTCATGCCGCGACCGACTTTGGATTCTGAAATTGCACTGCCAATGTTGCTTTAAAAATATATGGTATGTTAGATTTTAACATATTGGAACAGGCATCCGATTGATGACCTTGAAAAATGTCCGAAAAATACTCTTTATCAATTTTATTGTGGTCATGAAAATGACCGTTTTGTCGTACTGGTTGAGTATTACTGAGCTATTAGGGTGTTCAACACGGATGAGGCTGGCGAGCTGTATGTTGCTTGGAGCAAGGATGACGTGCTTGGCATAGATGACCCACAGCGACTCACGAAGAAACTGATTTCGATCCATAGCGGTGCGGTTTCTTCCTCCTTCTATGGATGCTCATGTGGGCTCTGCAGCTCACTGCTTACAGGCAGCCTTTCGTTGCGTACTGGAGAACAATGTTCAATGCCACACGCCGCCAGCACTGCTGCTGATGATGCTGCTGCTGCTGCTGACACCGATGACCTGACACTACTACACACGGTGATTGAATGAGCACCGATCAGTGAGATCGCATCGAATTCGATTTTTAAATCTGTGTTAGGGAAAGCGCTTTTTGCAGGCATTCGGTGATAATTTTGATCACCAGTTGGACATTTGTGTATTTTTCAATAGTAACCTATTGAAAATTAATAAATTATTAATTTTAACAGATTGGTAGGTAAATTTCCAATCGTTTGGCTTGTTTAGAAATAAAATTCATCTGCTATTGACAGAGTTATAAGTGGTCAAAACCTGACCTCTTTTCGTGATGCAGACGATTTCGGTTTTTTGAAATTGCACCCCCAATATGTGGCCGAAAGACGTAATCCCACGTAAAAAAAAAAACCAAAAGTTCTGGGGGGCTAGATAGTAAGCCAAAGCACAAGATAAGTTTGATTGATTTGTATGAAAATCGGAATGTGCTACTATTTTATCGAACACAGCTGTACATTAGACTGATGCAAAATTTGAAATTTTCTCTCCACATTAAGCACTGGTACACGGTTCCAAATTGCGCCCTGATTAGCCTCCCAAAATTTGAACTCATTTAGTGAGAAACTGACTTGGCACAAACCATTTGAAGTTTATATGGGAATTACTATAAAGAAACCATAATTCCGGTTCATATCTATCTCAAAATTCACCAGTTCACTCTACTTTAAAAAATGAAAGCTGAGCTTGTTGCTACAAGTTTGTTAAAGACCACTTTTTGATCAACATAACAAAAATTATTAATGATTTAAGTCACTGATGTCTTATGATTATGCTCAATCATCTGTTCAGCAGGCAACATTGGTGTTCATGGCGCGTAGAATAGAGGACAAAAATCATGGCTGCTATGTCACACTGCAGAATACAGTGTTGCCCACAATACAGTTGCTTAATCTTACCATAAGATTGTCAATCTCTTAAACAATTAATAACTATTAAATTTGACGTTTGGCTGAAAAACGGTTTTCTGCAAAGTTGTAGCTGATAAAAATTCCCGTAAGAATAGCAATAGAATTTGTTAACAGTACAATATGTAAAAAGGCTAGAAGACAATGAACAAAAAGTTTTGTTTTTCCATAGTAAGTTCCATATAAACTTCGAATGGTTTGTTCCAAATCAGTTTCGTATCAAATGAGTTTAAACTTTTGAAGGCTAATCGGAACCCGATTTGAAACTGTTTGAACACCGTGAAGCAAAAATTTCAAATTTTGCATCAGTGCATAAATACGGCATGAATTTAAGAAATAACTACGTAATCATAAAAGGAACTCACTCCAAAACCTATCCATAGGGTATTTTGTTAAATGGTTTGAAAAGAATTGAAACAAAACAAATTCAAAATTATCTAGGTATGGTTTGAGGAACCAAGGTTTTTGAAAATATTCATGGCACGTGTGCATTCAAAGATTATACATGCACAAACGAATCAGTAGCAAGTAATTTGAACAGACACGTGATGAATTTCATTAACTTCATGACAAATAAAAAAACCGCATAAATTATCGTCCCCAGTTCATTATCATCCCAACGCAGATGCTGTTGTAACCTGTTGAGAGACAAGACCATCATCGTCGATCCATAAATCAAGTAATTAACGTTAAAAAGTCTGCCACGGACGTTAGCCTTTTCCCCAACACCCCCCCCCCCCCCCCCAAATGAATCACGATTTTGCCGTCCCAAAATCCGATGAAAGACGCGAAACGTTGTAAAACCAGACAAGATAATTTCATTAACTCTGTCCTTCACTTCCCAGACCGAACCGACCGGTTAGACCTTTATCAAAACTTCATCCATCACACAAGAGAGTCTCGGAAAAATCTTCATAGCTGTTCCTTCTTATTATTCGCTCCGAAAGCCCAGTTCTCCCAGATCGTGCCGTTGACTGACAAGTTGCTCGAAAGGAAAAATATGGGGGAAATGAAAAAGAAATGTTTTACGTTTCCCCCCTTCCCCGCCGCAGCCGACAACGAACAGCTCAACCGCAGTAATGTGCCCGAAAATCCGCAAAGTTTCTGACGGATCTCCTTCGGCGAAGGGTATTTTCGCCATTGATTAATCGTTTCGCGGTTTTTTGTCGCTGTCGTTTATCATCGTCATGATGGACTCGTGGGAGGCCTAGCTTATTGTCCCCCAGTGCCGGACTGATTATATTTCTAGGATTCGGCTCAGCTGCTGCACCCGGTCAGGATGTCACCAGAGTGTGTGTCTGTGTGTGTGTGTGTGATTGCGGTTTAATTAAAAATTTAATGAACTTCCTGACTTGAAGGGTTCTGTGTAAATGGATTGATTTTGCCGGAAATGATTATTTTGGATTGCATTCCAGCGCTTGAAACAACCTTGAATTGGGATAGGAAATGGTCTATTTATAATCTTATTGAACATAAAATCAATATGCCATGTTGAAAAATTCTAATTTCCTCTCGTAATTTTGCTTCTGTCTTTCAGTGATAGACGCCCTGCTGGACGTACAGGTCACAGTGCCCCGGGCGGTCCGGAGGGGTGAAAACGCTCTCCTGGTCTGCTACTACGACATGGGCGACGAGAAGCTGTACTCGGTCAAGTGGTACAAAGGTCGGCGGGAGTTCTACCGATACACGCCGAAGGAAAATCCTGTGATGAAGATGTTCTCCGTGCCCGGAGTGCAAGTGAAGGTAAGGAAAAAAACTGACAGTAAAGGGTGATACGGTCAAAATTTGGTCAAGGGAAAACGCGTGTAAATCGGTGAAATCGTTTATTTAAAAAATCAAATTAATTTTCTTTTTCAAGTTCAATTAGCATAAAATTCAGGAAAAATATTCAGTTAGGCTTCCGCTTTTCCAAATCCGAATTGCCGGGCCTTACGCTTGACCCCTGCCATCTAATTTTGTACAGCCACCTTGTCCACCTTCTTCGCCGCAGAAAGCCAGTTTGCCTTGAACTGCTGCTCGCCCTTAGCAGTTTTTTTTGGTCTTCTTCAGGTTCCGCTTGACAATAGCCCAGTATTTCTCAATTGGGCGGAGCTCTGGCGTGTTGGGAGGGTTCTTGTCCTTGGGAACCACCTGCACGTTGTTGGCGGCGTACCACTCCATGGCCTTTTTACCGTAATGGCAAGATGCCAAATCCGGCCAAAACAGTACGGAACAACCGTGTTTCTTCAGGAAAGGCAGCAGACGTTTATTCAAACACTCTTTCACGTAAATTTCTTGGTTGACAGTCCCGGAAGCTATAAAAATGCTGCTTTTCAAGCCACAGGTACAGATGGCTTGCCAAACCAGATATTTCTTTGCGAACTTTGACAGTTTCATGTGCTTGAAAACATCTGCTACCTTTCCCCTTCCTTTTGCCGTATAAAACTCCTGTCCCGGAAGCTGCTTGTAGTCAGCTTTGACGTAGGTTTCGTCGTCCATTACCACGCAGTCAAACTTCGTCAGCATCGTCGTGTACAGCCTCCGGGATCGCGCTTTGGCCGTCGTATTTTGTTTATCATCGCGATTTGGAGTCACTACCTTCTTGTAAGTCGATAGTCCGGCTCGTTTTTTGGCTCGATGCACGGTTGTAGACGATACACCCAGCTTATTTGCGGCATCTCGGAGAGAGAGGTTAGGGTTTCGCTTGAAACTACCGGCAACTCTCTTTGTCGTCTCAGCGGCTTCCGGTTTTCGATTTCCCCCCGATCCAGACTTCCTGGCTGTCGACAAACGTTCCCCAAACACTTTAATTACATTTGTAACGGTTGATTTGGCAACTTTTAGCGATTTTGCCAACTTTGCGTGCGAGTAGCTCGGATTTTCGCGATGCGCGAGCAAAATTTTGATACGCTGCTCTTCTTGCTTGGACGGCATTTTGACAACTGAAGAGTGAATTCCAAAATCAAAATAGGAGCAACATTCTACACACACACACCTTCAAAATGAGGGGTGTTCAGGTTTTTTAAATGCAAAATTGAAAGAAATACGTCAAGTTGATATTGACCAAATTTTGACCGTATCACCCTTTAATCACAACATCTAACATTTTGGGGGAACGGGAAAGCTGCAAACAAAGGAACAAATCTAGAACTGCGATTTTCTCTTTTTTTTTAATAAATCGGTTAGGTTATTATTTCTCGATACGTTGCTTTTGCTAGCTAATACAACCTTTCACTACACTGTATTGTGATAATTTCGGAAAATGTGTTGTTTGAAATAATGCGAAGAGAATTGAACTATCTGTTCATATCAATAGCTGATTCTTATTATTGTGAGAACCTTCGCTGAAAACACTAAGTCACAGAAATGCTTCATTTCAGTGTTATCAATGTGGTCCTCTCATCAGGATCTTCTTCAAGTTCTCTTGGAGAAATTTATACATAATAAAACTTTCCAGAGGTCAATCCAAAATAGTATTCTAGACAAGCGAGCTCGCGCACTAGGAAGGTGGTTGCATTGATTGGAAAATAATTTCTAAAATTTTTGATACACAATAAATTAATATGCTTTAACCAGCACTATTACTCTGAATTCTTAAGGATGCCTTACAGGTATACCTCGATATAACGTAGCTGTAACTTTTGACTTTCATCATCGTTTTCTCGCAAAGGGCGATTCAATCATCGATGAGACAATCTCCCATCTATTGGTAATCTTAGTTTGTATGATTGAGTTGTTATTTGAGAGAAATCGACGATGAAAGTAAAAATGAATAGTAACGTTATATCGAGACTAACAAACGTCTTCAACTGGCGCTCCCTGTTGCAGCAAATATATTTGAAAACACATATCCAATTTCGTCATTTTTCAACCGCCCTCCAGAAGCATGCGTAACGTCCATCGTATCATGGTAACGTAGGACTACGTGGTCTTATATATTAAATGTTATTTGTTAACTGAAGCAGGAGCCTGTGTTTTGTGTACGAATACTCTTTAGTATGACTATGGTTGCCCTGAACAGAACCTATTGATATGAGTTTTAGTAGGGACAAGTTCAGAAATTAAACGCTTTTGGAAAATCTTGGTGGCCCTTAAAAAAGCCGATGGTAGTACAGGCTTAAAGCCTTTGGAAGATTATGATGACGTGTAGGTAGCTGGTTCAGCAAATTGGACCGGACAACTCCATATTCTTCTGATTGGGCACTCGCAAGAGTCTCGGCCCGTCTGCTGCTGGACAGGGGTTGAACTGGTGGCTGCGACAGGTTGGCAGGCCGCAGAATATCAGTGTCCAGCCTGCTAAAGCTCCCCTCCTTTTTAGTTTTTTCTCGTTAAACTCCTTCTCTCAACAAGTTGGTAAATCTTAGTCTGTAGCTGAAAGACGGTTAACACTTTTTTCGACGAATTTATGATTCTGTTTCACGTCATGGATCTTCTCCATGCCTGTTAAGATAAATTAGTACTTTTGTTTATTTTCTCTACTGCGCTTAATCAAACGACTAGACATAAGAAGGGATGTCGTTAACACGCTCGAATAATTGAAAATTCAATAAATATTTAATCGAATAGCCGGAAACATCGCTGCGATTAACGGTCCTTCGAATAAAGGGTGATACGGTCAAAATTTGGTCAAGGGAAAACGCGTGTAAATCGGTGAAATCGTTTATTTAAAAAATCAAATTAAATTTCTTTTTCAAGTTCAATTAGTATAAAATCCAGGAAAAATATTCAGTTAGGCTTCCGCTTTTCCAAATCCGAATTGCCGGGCCTTACGCTTGACCCCTGCCATCAGATTTTGTACAGCCACCTTGTCCACCTTCTTCGCCGCAGAAAGCCAGTTTGCCTTGAACTACTGCTCGCCCTTAGCAGTTTTTTGGTCTTCTTTAGGTTCCGCTTGACAATAGCCCAGTATTTCTCAATTGGGCGGAGCTCTGGCGTGTTGGGAGGGTTCTTGTCCTTGGAAACCACCTGCACGTTGTTGGCGGCGTACCACTCCATGGCCTTTTTACCGTAATGGCAAGATGCCAAATCCGGCCAAAACAGTACGGAACAACCGTGTTTCTTCAGGAAAGACAGCAGACGTTTATTCAAACACTCTTTCACGTAAATTTCTTGGTTGACAGTCCCGGAAGCTATGAAAATGCTGCTTTTCAAGCCACAGGTACAGATGGCTTGCCAAACCAGATATTTCTTTGCGAACTTTGACAGTTTCATGTGCTTGAAAACATCTGCTATCTTTCCCCTTCCTTTTGCCGTATAAAACTCCTGTCCCGGAAGCTGCTTGTAGTCGGCTTTGACGTAGGTTTCGTCGTCCATTACCACGCAGTCAAACTTCGTCAGCATCGTCGTGTACAGCCTCCGGGATCGCGCTTTGGCCGTCGTATTTTGTTTATCATCGCGATTTGGAGTCACTACCTTCTTGTAAGTCGATAGTCCGGCTCGTTTTTTGGCTCGATGCACGGTTGTAGACGATACACCCAGCTTATTTGCGGCATCTCGGAGAGAGAGGTTAGGGTTTCGCTTGAAACTACCGGCAACTCTCTTTGTCGTCTCAGCGGCTTCCGGTTTTCGATTTCCCCCCGATCCAGACTTCCTGGCTGTCGACAAACGTTCTCCAAACACTTTAATTACATTTGTAACGGTTGATTTGGCAACTTTTAGCGATTTTGTCAACTTTGCGTGCGAGTAGCTCGGATTTTCGCGATGCGCGAGCAAAATTTTGATACGCTGCTCTTCTTGCTTGGACGGCATTTTGACAACTGAAGAGTGAATTCCAAAATCAAAATAGGAGCAACATTCTACACACACACACCTTCAAAATGAGGGGTGTTCAGGTTTTTTAAATGCAAAATTGAATGAAATACGTCAAGTTGATATTGACCAAATTTTGACCGTATCACCCTTTACGTCGAACAGCAGAATTGCAACCAGCAAATGTAACCCAAGAACCAAAAGCGGTGCGATGCTAGTTTTCATTGCTATGACGACGACTGAATTAAGAAGCTTAGAAGCAGAGGGGTGAAAGTCAATTATCTTCATTGATTTCCTCTTTGCATGACCATGGCTTCACTACCCTATTTCGCACTATTTCGGCTATGCTTTTCTATCATCCAGAACAACAAACGTTTCAATGAATGTGTTTGCCGTCGAGTTATTAACGAAACAGAATGTCGATGAAGAGAATCGATCAAAATCACTTGCACCCCTGCTCCCAAGTTTGGTTACAAGATTACAACTCTGGAGAACATTGGGTGCGTGTGGTGTGGTTCTAAATATGGCGATGAGTGTGCAAAATGTTGCGCAATTGCATCCTCGCTATTCGCACAAGCCCGCAGATCAGAGGCGAATGCCACTTTGACTGGTTTCTTTCGACTTGTGTTGGGGAAGCAGCAATGCTACATCGACATGTTTCGTCTAGAAACGATTATCTGATGACTGTGTTTGGGAAGCAGCATATCCATGTACGTAATTGGTGGATTTGTTAGTTATTTTGGCGCTTTTAGACAATTCTTGAAATTTACCGCTTTTTCAATAGTTTTAACAGTCGGATGCATTGGAAATATCTCTGATCGATTGATGATAAAATTTTTGAAATTAGTCTAGGGGCAGCTGAGTTATTAAGGTTCAAAATCTTTCAAAATTTTGTTACATGTTCCATTTTTGGTTTTCACAAAGTGTACCCCAATAAAGAAACCACAAACGTAGTCCTGCGTCAAAATCAATTTTAAGAGCAGTAATTTTACCTAATTCAAAAGAATCGCAGTAGT